TCCTCGTCATGTATTTAAAATGATATAAAGAATCACATAATGATAACTACTCTAGAACGACTAGTATGGTGTATCATATAAATATGGTTTTGCATGATTATAAACAAGTGGAAGCATCGACAGGCACAAATAAAGACCATTGTACGGAGTTGAAGTTAATCAAGTGGGAATCACTTGCTTTGAGGAGAGTGAAGCTAAACATTGATGGTGCTAGAAACAAGAATGGTAATGTGAGTTGTGGTGGTATAATTAGAGGGGATGAGGGGGAGTTGGTTAGAGAATTTTCTAAATTCATTAGGATATGTGATAGTTACACATCAGAGCTATGAGGAGTCTATGAAGGTTTGAAGCTTGCAACTGAGATGAGGTTCACGAGCATTGACGTTAATTTAGATGCTCAGCAAGTGGTAGAAGACATCAATTAGAATAAAATAAGTAACATAATGGGTAGGAAACCGACTCCTATGATTAGAGGTTACCTTCTTCATAATAGTGAGATTACAATCAACCATGTCTACCCTGAGGCAAATTGTTGTGCAGATGCTCTTGTTAGAAACAAACTTTTTCTACCTAAAAAAAGTTGTGTTTTTTTATTGTTGTCTGTCCTTCTCCACTCACTTCTTAGATAGTGACTTTTTAGGGGTTCCCACCCCACAACTTATGTTGGTGTAGTTGTTTTCTCCTTTTGGGCTTTTACCCTCCTCTCAATAAAAAAAAAAGATAAAGTTTACAGGAAAAAGAAAAACCAAATTTATGAGAATTACATGAAGGAATGAAATGTAATTAGCTTTATATATTTTAGTTTTAATTCAGCGTAGCTTACTAACACCTTTCAATTTTTATATATAAATAAAATGTATTGAAGGAGTATAAGAGTACTCCAACTCAAATATAAAAAATACACTAGAAAGAAAAACTCATGATAAAACATCTTCAATGGTGATAATTTAGAGATTGCTTAGCTTTTAAGATTTTTTTTTGTTATTTATTTATTTATTATTAATGGAGGTGATGATGAGGTAATATTAATTGCTTAAACTTAAGTGACAAAGTTTCATGAAGCAACTTTTAAATTTGAGAACTTAATATTAAATATTATTATTTGCAACAATTCACTTGAAATAGGGACGTAATGTGGTTGTCAATTGTAGTGCAAATATAATAATATAAATTGGTGGGGTCAAATTGTTAAGAGAGTTTATAATTTTTCCGTTCAAAAATTATAGTTGAAAGATGGTTTGCAATTTTTTCGTCTAAAAATTATAATTGAGAGGGAGTTTACAATTTTTTCGTTCAAAAATTGTAATTTGGTGAGTTTGCAATTTTCTTCTTAAAAATTGCAATTGTATGAGAGAGTCTGTAATTTTTTTCTTGTAAAAATAATTTTGTGAGTTTTATTTTTGAATTTTTTTGCTATTTTTATTTTTGAAGGTATGCTTCCGCGTGTATAGAATTTTGTATTATTATTATTTTCTCAGCAACTGGTATCAGAGTTAAGGTTCTGATCTAAGGAGGAAGGAAGAGTCATAAAAAATTCCAATCAAGCAAAAAAGAAAGAGTAATAAAAAATTCTGATCAAGGGTAGAAGAAGACAAAAAGATTGAAGAGTGATAATTTTATAAATGTGCCTAATTATTATAATTATACTGATCGTTTTGAAGATGAAGTTGAAGACAAAGTAAAAATATGTGAGACTTTGGATGAAGGGAAGATTTGTTGGGTCAAATAGTATATTCATCCAAGTCATACATCAGATAGTATGAAGAAAATAGAATTGGAGTATAAATATAAGTAGAGATAATTAGTTTTAGTTTTGCCTACCAGAACAAAATGTAGTCTTTTGGGTGTATTGGGAATTTGAGTAATTGTGTGTTTAGAAAGAGTTTTCTATTTTTCTGTCCAAAAATTGTAGTTGAAAGAGGCTCTGCAATTTTTCCGTTCAAAAATTGCAATTGAGAGAGGGTTTACAATTTTTCCATTAAAAAATTATAATTTAGAGAAGGTTTCCTATTTTTTTTCTTCCAAAAATGGCAGTTTAGAGTTTGCAATTTTCTCTTTAAAAATTATAATTTAATAACAGAGTTTGTAATTCTGTTTGTAAAGATTAGAAGTTGGTTAAAGAATTTGTGAGTTTTGTTTTTGAAAAAAATAATTGTTGAGAAATAAGTGTGAGTTATATTGAGAAATAAGTGTGAGTTCTAAGTCCCACATTGCTTAGAAAAGTAGAGGTTGAACACTTTAAGATTTTAGGTGAATATGTGGAGTCTCTCTCACTTGTTTGAGTGTGTCTTTTACCTTTAGGTGAGTGTTTGATCCAATGTGAATACTTCTCCTCCCATGATGACTCATAAATGGTGTTAGAGCCTGATTCGAGTAAGAGACCGACTCCTTGTGTCGAAAGTCTTTCTGACATGATGGTTAGGCGGTGTGTCCCGTTTATGTGCCCATGACGAGTAATGGTGTTTGTCAACGATGGTACAAGCATGTGGATGAAAGAGCTTCCATTTAAGGGGAAGTATAATGGATGAACTCACACTTGATGCAGAGATTATTGAAAAAAAGTGTGAGTTGTATTGAGAAATAAGCGTGACTTCTAAGTTCTATATTTCTTAGAAAATGGAGGTTGAGCACTTTATAAGTAAGAGGACCCGTACACCTATCACCCTAAGGTTTTAGGCGAATATGTGGTGTCTCTCTCATTTGTTTGGGCGAGTCTTTGATTTTTAGGTGAGTCTTTGATCCAATATGAATGCTTCCCCCTTTTAAGTTTTTTTTTAATCAATGGAGGTGATGATGTGACAATATTAGTTGCTTATTAAATTTAAGTGATGGAGTTTCATGAAGCATCTTTCAAAGTTTCAATCTTAACACTAAATATTATTATTTTTGAGAAAAATCAATTGAAATAGGGATGTACGGTGGTTGTCAATTGTAGTGCAAATATAATAATATAAATTGGTGGGGTCAAATATATATTGATTATTTATAATTATCATTGGAGAAAAAATAGTTTAAGAGACTTCAATAATTATAATTAGTATTTGTGATATTTTGGATCAAATTCTAGTGTCGACAAAGGTAGCTTAATATTTCGACAGGAGTTGTGCATGCTGTAGTCGAAGCCTATTCAAGCATGCTGTTAAAATATATTAATTTGTAATTTAAGTTAGTATATCGAATTAAGTCTTGCTTGTAACCCCAATTATTTAAGTTAACTTTTTCCTAAGTTAGCTTGTGTAATGAACCTATATGTAAAAGTCCATTAGGTTAGTATGTTAGTTTTCTTATAAATAGCATGCTAGTCTCTCATCTTTGTAAGGGTGGTGCAAATCCTAATTAGGGTGAGAAAGGTTAATTGTTGTTAATTATTTGTAATCTTTGAACCCTTATTGAGAAAGTGAATAGTAAAACAAATTTAACCAATTCTCTATTATTCTCCCTTCTTCTCTTTTCTTTTGTGAAATCTAATACGGTTTCTTGTATTTTTTTTAAGAAACTCAATCTTTATCTTATAACTTTGTTTTGCTATTGACAATATCGTTTCACAACAATATTCTATGTATTTAACTAAAAAAAGTATATCTTAAAAAATTAAATGAGAATAACAAATAGGGGCTCGTGTGTCTGAGATAATTTTGATAGATTTATCTTTGTAGGTGTAGCATGAAACTTCAGTCTCTATCCAATTCAAGAAGCATAAACATTGTCTCTCAAAAGAGGCAATTTATGGTGCTATAGCAATGCAATTGAAAAATGTTACCTTTGAAAGTGACTCAAGATATTCGGTCCAATAATAATGGCATTTATGAATTTAATTTTATTATCTTGTCTATTCAGAGTTTGTTACAGTTTTGTTCTAATTTTAAAATAAAGTTTGTCAAGCGTCATACGAATATGCTTATTCACATTTTAGCGAAGACGACCTATTTTTAATCTAGATGTAGTTTTATTCATGCGGTTTCTCTTTCTTATTAAGCATTATTTAGTTAATGATATGAGTTAAGTTTTTGTTTGTAAAAAAACTATTTTTAAGAGACTTGAATAATTATACTTAGTATTCTATTTTTAAGTAACTTTAATAATTGTATTTAGTATTCTATGTATTTAAATAAAAAATAAGTGTATCTTAAAGACTTAAATGATAATAAATTAAAAGTAGTCTGAATAACCACACAAAATTAGTTAATTAATTTTAAATCTAATTTTAAATTATCTTTAAAAAAAAGAAAATATTATATATATTTTTTGATAGATAGCATATAAATGATGACAAATGAAGTATTAAAGGGTTTTTATGATCTAGTCAAAATTTTATTTTTCTAGTGATTTATTTATTTAAATATAATTATGATATTTTAATAAATTAACTTTTTTTGACCGACTTTAGTAATTGCATTTAGTATGTTAAATGTTCTGTATTTTTTTTACAAAAGTATTACAGGTGTATTTAACCAATAAAAAGAAGTGAATTCAAAAAATTATACTATTCTATGTATATAACTAAAATATAGAATTAGATTCAAAAAATAAAACCACAATAAAGAAGTGTATCTTAAAAAATGAAATGAGAATAAAAAAAAAATAGTCTTAATAACCAAAAAAAAAAATTTAATTTTTAAGAAAAAACAAAAAATGTGTGAATATAAAGCTATATTATTATTATTATTATTATTTTTCCAAGGCAAATGAATAAAAAAGACGTAACCAACAACTTTAATTTATATGGATAAAGTTAAAGGTAGAGAATCCATTCACGTAAAATGTTTGTCTATAAATATATTGTAGGTCTTCTAGAAGAGAGCGTGTGCGTTGAGTTTCTAGATACTTTTCCTTATTTTACGTAACAAAGTTGAGTCCATTTTGGAGGAGAAGGAGGCTATGAAAACATTCGTCTGTTACTGTCACCAAAAAGTGTTCAACAATTCACCCCACCTTTATTTTGCTTCTCTTTATATATTCATATTCTCACATCCTAACACATCAAACTCAACTCCAGATCGATGGATAGGAAGAGGAAGAACCCTAATCAATTTTTCTCTTACGTTCGTTTTGAAGCCAGTGGTGATTCTGAAGCTGATTCTGATCCTAACATGGATTGTGAAAAAGCTAAATCATCATTGCATGATGAGGATAATGACGACGCTTTATCTTGCAGTGGTGGATCTACGGTTGATGAGCATGATGATGGTGATGAGAACGAGAAGAGAAAAGACGAAGAGGAAGAGAAAGATGTTGTTTATGGAAAATCATATTGTGAAGAAGATGAAGAGGATGATGAAGTGCATGGTGAAGATGTTGATTTAGGTGGAGATTTGGTGGATGAGAATGAAAAGAATAGGAGGTTTTGGGAAGCTTGTATGGCATCTTGAATTCTTTCATTCAATGTATCCAATGTGATTTACAAAATTATTTGAAATTTGTTAAGTTTAGAAATGGAACTTTACGTAGTTGTTTAATTTATTTGCATGAATTATTTCATCATTTTTATTTAGATTTTATAATAATGAAATTTAAGTTAAAAATTTTATTTTATATATATTTTTTATTTTCAATTTTTGTAAATCATATTAGTTGTTATGCAGTTCAATCAAATAATCAAATGATTTGATGTGGTCAATGACCACGTTTCTATACATTAATTAGTTTTTATTATGCTTCATTTTTCTTAAACAAAGTCTATTATGTTTCATATGTTGCAATTGTCATCACATTTTAATTTATTTTAATTCTTTAATTTTAGATTTCCACCATTACATATATTCTACAATAACATGATAGATATAAGTATAAAAAATGTACTATATTGTTTTTAAAGTAAATGATTTACAACTTATTTACAAAAATATATTATAAGAAACTATAAAATAATATTGCAACCATTTAGCCCCATGTGTCATAGTTTTTATCTATGGATAATTTGATAAACTTCAAAAGCAAAAGTTTTTCCACAAGCCTATTTTTTTGAAAGAAAAAATATATTTTTAATAAAATAAATAAACATATTACTTTTCATAAAAAAAAGTCGGTTAAATATTTATACACGTGAAAAAATTTAAAATTGATCCTAATATTTTATAAACAGTATGAAAATAATTAAATATTATATATCTCCTTCTATCTTAAATTTTAAAATTAAAAGAAGTTTTTGTACATTTTATGCAAATTAAGAAATTGAATTATCATATGGATAATAGAAATTATAATGATTTTATAATATCGTCTTTCATTTATTATAGATGAAAGAAAATTTTAAATAATTGTAAAAATAAATAATAATAAATGTAATGGGTATATTAGGAAAAAAAATCATTAATACTATATTAGAATTGTAAAACAACTTATAATTTATAATAAATTATTTTATTAAAATGACTTATAATTTAGAACAATACTTAAAAAAAACACACAAATGCATGCACGCACCTGAACACGCATATACGTATATATACACAATAATATTGAATAAATATTATATTATAAAATGAGCATTGTCACTCATGCATGTACACACATGTATTTTACTATTTGTATTTACACACATCTATTTTACTAGTATAGGATAAAAAATGGCCATATGAAAACTTAATCTAACACCATAAATATTATTACAATTTAGATATAAAAAATATTGTCTTAATTAAGGACTATAATTAAGAGATTAAGTAAAATGTTTCTTAGGTAAGACTTAAGAATTTTAGGTCTATATGACAACTTTATTATCGACCAATAAAGTCCAACTTAAGAAAAGAGGACAATATCTTTCAAACCATGAAGGGGTTTGTGTTATTTGTTTTCAACCAGAAGAGGACTTAGAGTATCTATTTTTTCATTGCAAGGTGTCAAAGAAATTATGGGCAATAGTGAAATCTTGGCTTGGTATCACTGTGAACCATGAAGAACCAGCTTGGAAGAGATTCACCTTTTGGGAAAAAAGCCTTAGAAGAAAGACCAAAAAGAAAAAAAAAAAAGAATTATTTGGTTGGCAGCTTTTTGGAGTATATCAAAACTCAGAATAAAATTTTGTTTAATGGTGTTATTTGTAACTTGCAGACCTAATTTGGACAATAAAATTAATAGCTTGAAATTGGTTAATTATAAGAGAAATTTTTCATTCCAACTTTAATTTTTTAAATTTTAACATGGATCGTCTTATATACTTATCTTAATTTTTTGTTAATTTGGAATCTTGTTGTATTTCGTTTAATTTATTCTTTCTAGCGGGTTCAACTCAAATAAGATCAATTGTGGACTCAACTTTACTAAGGCCAATTTATCAAAAAATATGGATTGCAAACCCATTTTATCAAAATAATGTGTCGATAATATTAGAAAATCATGTGAAAAAAACTTCTGAAATGAATCAAGTTCAACAATAGAAAATACTCCACCTCAAGTTCAACATTAACATGGTTTACAAAGTTTCCTAAAAAATGTGGGGGCACCATCTACAACCAAGGTTAGACTTCATGGACAATAATTTTTGGATACTAACCTCATAGTCAATGTCATCAATATGTATTTTAGATTACAGTTGAAACCCATAAATAAGCCTATGTATAGGAAGTCTTATCGTGAGTGAGTGAATAGAATGATGTTTCTTTAAAACTCTTAAAATTTCCAATTCTTTAGTGGAAGATGAAAAATATATGTCATACTCCAAATTTTACTCCTAAATTTCATTATCATTTGCATAGCATCCGACACATTTTAGGTATGTCATTCATGCATAGCTAACCCTTCAAATTATCAAGATATTTGTCTTGCTTTGTCTCATTTGTGAATTAGGATTTGCAATAAGGAGACTGTTGGTTGATCAGTCAAAGTTTTAGATTGATCATCAATATATCAAGTTCTAATGATCAAGAGTTTTCATACAACAATAATCAAGTGCAAAGTTTCATTGAATCAAGTTCAATAGGTCTCAAGTCATCTGGCGCACCCAAATTAGGGTTTTTTACCTAATGCAGTCTCTGATTTGACTTTTGGAGCAAGGCATGATCCAACATCTCAAAACGTGTTTCAAGGATATCAAATACATCATATTAGTCCGTTCATATGATTGGATTGACCATAGGAGCTTGATTCATAAGCAATACAAGAATTCAAGTTCATCTGATGAAAAATCAACTACTGATCAAAGTCAAGTTTGACTTTTAACTTTTTGGTTAAACATGGGTTCCCCAAGTTAAAAATTATGATAGTATGTGATTTGGATCATGATAAATCAAGAGAAATCAAGAAATGCGAGGTTACTTGCAGAAAGGGCAACAATGAAGAAATTGAATTTTTTCTAGGTTATGGAAGTTCATGATTTTTGCCCAACTTCTCAAGGTCATAACTTCCAATTCAAGCAATCATTTTCTTTGCTCAAAATACCAAAATAAAGATCTTGGTACATACTACAACTTTTTTCTATGAGATGATCTCCAAAAAATGCAAGGATTGAGAGATATGAAGCCATGAAATGGAGGATTCATTGCCCCTTGAACCAAAACACTTGGAAAATTTTCAACAAAATCTGCCTTGTAAAAGTAGCTAACTTTGAGGTCAGGTTTTACCATGATCCCAATTTATTCAAGAAAAAATCAAACATGGAAGTTGTAGAGGATGTTTCAAGCTTTGTAAAAAGTCAAAGAACACAATTTTATCATGCTTGAGCTAAGAGTTTCGAAGACATGGAGTTGGTCTCCAAAACTTGAACTATAGGTCATTTTCATGACATGTTCTTGAAGAAAATCCATGCGAAGCTGCATAATCTCACTTTGAAGGTTATGTAACTTATAAATATCCCTCTAATCAAATAATTGCACAAGTCTTTGGTGCATTACACATTGATTTGAGGCATTATCCAAGTGTTCATACCATTTTTGGAGTGTTTTGCTAAAAAGACCACAATGTCATTCTCATAAAGAAGCTTTAATCAAGAAGTCAACTTGTCTTGATCTTCTAACTTGTTTCGTTTGCACAAACAATACTTGATGTTTATAAGCAACATCCTACACCTCAGAAAAGTATGGCTAAGTCCCACAAATCACTCCATCCATTTCATCATGACATTTATGAAACTTTGTGCAAAATGAAACCAAACATCCCAACTACCATCCAAGTGAAATAAACTAAGTTTCTGCAAGTTACTTGAAGCATTTTAAGCCTATATAAATAGGGATCCAGACCACAATATTCCACACACCAAGATTTGCAGAAAACAACATTGTAGCAAAACTTCCAAACTTTAAGCTTCCAAATTTTGTCTTGCTTGTGTTTCCTCCAAACAAACACTTTAAACATCCTCTAAACATCCATTAGAACTTATCTAAACACTTGAAAAAGTTATCTCATCCTTATCATCATCCTCCACATCTCACTTTTACATATAGCAAATCAATTTGGATATAGAGTTCCAGAGGGTCTCAACTCAGTCTAAGCATTGCAACACATTCTTTGCAGGTCAAGAAAGCTTTTAGGATCATCACATTATTTTTGTGACAACCTCAAGCCCAGTCACCATTTTACATTTTTGAGGTAAGTTGTCACTTTTGGAACTCTATGTTTATAGCATCATTTTAAGTGTTTCTTATACCATTCTACTTGCCACGATGTGAGGAATGAAAACCCCAACATGTTTGCCATTTATTTTTGCTCATCATCATTTAATTTCATTTTTTAGTTTTTAGGTTTTTCTGGTTTTTGCTTAAATTCGTGAGATACATTTAAAATGAATAAAATATAATTACATATTTGAATCCCTCATGAAATATCTATCAAAATGGTATATTGGAACGTTGAATTTGAGTAAAAAATGAGAAAGTTATGAAAAGTTGAAGTTTGAAAAATACAACAATGATGGAATACGGGATTGATGTTAATAATATGATCCTATTGATTTTTGCCAAGTTAAGTGTACTTTAAAGCTTGATTTTCATGTATACATGTCTTGTTTCTTCATGTTTGTTTATGAAACATTTCTCTTAACTTTGGCATAATACTTATACCATATTGAACCTTTGAATATTTGTTTGTTGTGTGTTTGAATCATCTTTGATCACATGTCCATGTTTTGCCTTAACTTTGATACCATGGTTTTGTTTGGTTCCTAAACTTCATTCTTACTACATTCAAACCTTTTTGAAATGCTTGGACATGTTACAACCACAATGTACCCTTTGACACAAACCCTTGGTTGTTACCTTTGTATCTTGAATCATGTCTTAAATTGTATTCATGATTAAGTGGTATAGTAAACTTGTCCATGTTTGTTTGAATCTTAAATTGTATTCATTATTAAGTGGTGTTAGTTTCAATCCTAAACCATGTCCTAATATTGATCTAATCTCATGCTTATCCCATATGTTTCATGTTTGAACCATTC